TGGGTTAATTTGAAAGCACACTATAACAAGAATACGGTAATCTGACTCCTAAGAGGCTTGCAAAAACTTTTGAGTTGGTATCACTCCATCTTTTTACTATCTTTTGTACAATTTTTTTTTATATTTCAACATATTTTTAATAAAGGTTTTTAAACTTCAAGACAAACATGAGCTTTGCATTACAATTACCATTCTTAGAATAAACATTCTTTGCATATGAGCAATTTCTTAAACATCAAGTAAGCTTGCATAATGAGCATTAGGTGAAAATTTGATCATCTCAAGGGACATATTGCTTCAAGTATTTGCTCGAGAATGAAGCAGTTCAAGTCGAGTAGTATGGTTGTGAAGTAACCTACTTTCAAGGCATAGGCCAACCACTCTAAGGTCATGTTGTCTTCAAGAACTCTCAAGTTTTCATCTCTCCTCGAGCATGAGACAAAGAAAGTATTTGTCGAGAATCTGTTAAGCAGGGGCAAGCGTGTCGAATACTTCGTCGAGTAGGTATTCAGCCAATCTGAGGCATTCAAGATGGGATTTTATCCCTCAAAGTACAGTCAAACTGGGGTAGTTGTACTAATATTTGACAAATCTCTCTGAGAATGCGTTGATCAAAGGAGAATCTTCCCCGAATTTGAAGATGTATGGGCATTCACTCAAGCATAGTTGGAGTCATCTCCAATTTTGGTTACCTAAACATCATGTTCCAAAGTCCATAACACCGGGGAAAGAATGTATGTAAGGGATTTCTCTCTTCTTCAGTGGTTGATTAGACCAAGGCCATACACAGGCTAAATGACCTATGAATTTGAAGATCATGCCGAGAAGTCAGGATTGTTATCTTCGACTTATCAGAGACTCAAGTCCATTTACTGATATCCTTTGTCCTAAGTCAATGTTATGATCCCCAGTCGAAGTTTGGATTGTTATCCTCAGTAGGATACAAGCAGTAACGCAAAGATCATTTGGGTGTTTACTCGTACGAGACGCGATAGAAATATTGCTTCCTAGGGGGATGCCTATTTCCAGTAAAAGACCAGTTGCTACTTGACAAAAATCTGTCTACCAAGGGGTTTCTCTTCTAAGATATTTCCTCCCCAATGAAGCATCCTCATTTTTCTGCAGGAGGAGAATGTTCCTTCTCCTCATGAAATTGGGAGTTGTTTTAAGTCAAGATGATTCCTTTTCGTCGGACTGCAATTTATTTTTGCAGCATCTTCTCTAAAGTCCATTTTTAGTGGCATTTCTCCTCGGAGTCGACATGTCGAAGTTGCAATCTTAAATCGTGGCTCTTACTCAGTGATTGATAGTTCAAGTTGTCTATTCTTCGATAAGGTTTTCCATGCCAAACAGGGGCATGTCACCCCAACTTCTGCTTTGCAAGTACTGTTGGTCTTGTATGACAAGATGCATACCAATAAATGAATCAAGAAGGGTATGTATGTGACCAACATGAGGATTTTCATATAATGAGATCCGGTTCCCCCAGTGGAACTATTCTTCTTTCCATAATGGAGAAATTGTCCTATATTTCTAGTGAGGTGTATAGGAAAATTCTAGTCATGACTCTTTCGTTACCAGTGGTAGAAGATTTTGTTGAGATATCCCCAATGGAGTTCCTATCCCGGGATGTTTGTTTCTTCCCCAAGTGAGGAATCTTTTACCCCCCAGTAATGTTATCCCCAGTGTGGTCTGAGTAGAATTCTTTTTATTTAAGAATTTCTATACTCCCCCAACAAAAATTATCTTCGTCTAGAATTTCTATGCCAGAAGTTTCCATTCCCAGTAAAGCTTTTCTCTTTCCAACAGAGGATAAATAATTTGTTCCCCGTGAAGTGGGGAGTTTGATCAGAATTCAAGATTTTCTATGAACTGCAATTTACGTTGGCAGTGTTCTTCCCAGGAAGTTACTTCCCCAGTGATATCAATCTTTAGAGTTTGGTGGTTTCGAGTCTCGGTGCCCCATTGAAGTTCATATTGCATTTTCTCTACCAGAAGATCAGATATACAAGAATAATTATTCGAAAGTTAATTGTCTTCTCAGCATCCTATTATTGATATGTTTTCCAGTGCATTACTAAACATGCATCATTACATTTCATCTACTAAAACGCGTAGCATTTCCATTGTATGGAGCATTACGCTATAAAAATTCAAACATGCATGAGTATAAGCCAATTGTGTCCACCTGTGGTAACCAGATTTTTATGCGCTCAGATTAGATTTATCTCTACAACAAGCCTAGGGTAATTCTATTATGTTTCCCCATCGGAGTTTATTTTGATTCACCATCAGTCTGGTCTTTGGTATTTCTCCATTTCCCCAGTGAGTTTGTGGTTTGCGCTTGTCTTTACAAGCCTTTAGTTATTTTACCCATGTTTACTTTTCCGTTAGAGTGTGAGTAAGAGTCGGTGTATAACATTTCTTGCTTCTCAAGTGTTTTAGTATCCATACTTGGTGTGTGGTAATTCAGATAATTGCCACTCTTGAATAATTACACACCGCCTTTGGCCTGAGGGATTTTGTTATTCTTGCATATTTGTGACTTATCGAAAGTCCAACGTGTTTTGGCAATCCTTGTTAGATTCTGATTTGACCATTCTCTTTCTCTTGTAGAGTTCACCTCCGATCTGTGCTCTTTGAAGGCCATGCGTTAGTCGCTTCCTTATTTTGGTCTATCCGCGTTAGTCGTGTCCTCCTTTCGTTAGTCTAGCTAACTTTTTATGATTAAGAGTCTTTCAGTGTATCTTCAAAGTCCAGTTGTCTGGCGTCCTTGTTTAGGCGAATGCGTCCTTTTTATTGGGGCTTTCTTAGTCTCGTTCCTGTGTTCACTATTAACTCTAAACATTTGTTTCTTGATGCTCAATTTCGCTCTTGTGTATCTAACTCTGACCAGATATGCATACCTTTATCCCTTGTGAAGTTCGCCTTTGGTTGGCAGTCCTTTGTTAAAATCCATCTTCGGATGATATCATTTGTTAAAATCCATCTCCGGGTGGTATCCTTTGTTAAAATCCATCTTCGGCTGGTATCATTTGTTAAAATCCATCTTCGGATGGTACCCTTTGTTAAAATCCATCTTCGGATGGTATCATTTGTTAAAATCCATCTTCGGGTGGTATCCTTTGTTAAAATCCATCTTCGACTGGTATCATTTGTTAAAATCCATCTTCGAATGGTATCCTTTGTTAAAATCCATCTTCGACTGGTATCATTTGTTAAAATCCATCTTCGAATGGTATCCTTTGTTAAAATCCATCTTCGGATGGTATCATTTGTTAAAATCCATCTTCGAATGGTATCCTTTGTTAAAATCCAGCTTCGGCTGGTATCATTTGTTAAAATCCATCTTCGGATGATATCCTTTATTAAAATCCATCTTCGGATGGTATCCTTTGTTAAAATCCATCTTCGGCTGGTATCATTTGTTAAAATCCATCTTCGGATGGTATCCTTTGTTAAAATCCAGCTTCGGCTGGTATCCTTTGTTAAAATCCATCTTCGGATGGTATCATTTGTTAAAATCCATCTTCGGGTGGTATCCTTTGTTAAAATCCATCTTCAGCTGGTATCATTTGTTAAAATTCATCTTCGGCTGGTATCCTTTGTCTGGAGTCCCATTTGTTTGCTCTCTTTTCTCAGTAAGTTCGCCTTTGATCGGTGTTCATTCGTCAGAGCCTTCCTCGGTCAGTTTCTTTCTTGGGTATGTCTAACCTTGACCTGACGTCCAAGAGATTTACTCAGCTGTTTACTGCAATCCAAAAATCAAATAATAATAATAATAAATAAAATAGAAAATGAAAAATATAATAAACACCTGACTGGCTTCAGAGCGCAAATTTCTGGGTTCTTTTAAGTATTTAATCTTCTTTTACCTTGAAAGTTAGAAAGGTTGGCGCCAATCTCACGTTCAGGTCTAAGACGATTAAATAGGGGCAGCTGTTGCACCCCCAATTTTTCCCTCCTAAATTTCTCTTATGCTGGCTTGGACTTTGCATTCATCTGTATCATTCCAACAGGTCATGTGCATAGCACGCATTTTTCATAAAATAGATCGCCTGAGGTTCAAAAGACCAGCAATTAAGGAGCTAGGGTTTACAGCTGATTTGGGGTGTATGGGTTGAATATGGTCGATTATCCAGGGTCTTCCTGATATACAAGACCAAAGAATTAGGGTTTTGGAGCATGCTCACTTTTTGGACTTCTTCACTATCCAGTTTCATCAGTTCTAGAGATTAGGGTTTATTTCCCTATGTCAGGCCAAGGAATCAGGGTTTCTATTTGTTGATAAATGTTCAAGTAATTGAAGATCAGGGGAAATACAGTTCCATGTTAATCTTGATCATATTCTTTCACTATCATTTATGTCCATCTTTGATAATTTAAGGTCGTCAATTAGGGGAGGACTTTGTCAAGATAAGAGACTTGTGGATTGAATCGTGGAATATGAGTCGTAATATAAAAGTGACTACTTAGTGCCATGAGTTCATAATTTGCAAATATGGAGTGCTTGAAGTAGAAAAAGCAAAGTTCATCATGATCCTAGGTATACTGTCTGATAAGTTTTGTTGCTTAAGACTCGATTCTTGAATAATTTGGTACAAGCCAATCCTTTTAGGATGTTCATTCGAAGGCTTTAAGTTCAAATTGAGTTGTTAAAGTCCATAATCGAAAGCTCATTAGAATGTTGAGGTTTTGGAAAAGGAAATGAATTTCGTTTAAACGGCGCTCAAGATTACGTCTAAACCCATTCAAGTCTCTACTTTGAACGCGTGGAATGCACAAGTGAGAAGTTAATATTCCAAAATCATTTTGATTGTTTGACGAATATCTTGTTGAACTCACTGCATGATTACAGGATCTTATGCAAAACCTTAATAATAAAATAAAGGGGATTAGATGTTCAAGTATAGGTATTTCGTCATTCGTAGTCAAGAATTCACAAGGTTAAATAACCATTTAAGTTGCATTCGTATCTTCGCTCAAGTTTTATTTTTCCGTTACAAGAAGACTGCAAATCTCATTCCAATTTTCATCACTATTTTCCAAAAGAAAAGAAACCAAATATTACTACATTCAAAGTGTATCAAACACATAAAAATAAAACTACACAAATTATTAAAGTCAGTAGGAATCTTCCTGATGTAGCAAGGAAAATTTGTGGGGAAGCAACATGTGAAGTTCTCAGATGCCGGATCCATCTCAAAGGATTCCAAAGAACGTTCAACTTCCATGCGAAAGCTTTTGACAGCAGTGATCCTCTGTGTTATTTTCATGACCATTGAACTAGTTGATGTGAATGCACCAAATAATTCTATGGCTATTGAATCACTGGCCATCATCTCCTCTGCATTAAAACTTGCAAAAGGTTCATAACAGAAAACATAGAGAAGGAGGGGAGAATTTTATTCATACACGATTCATATACACTCAGATATTCATTCATTCTTATTCAGAAGCTCACAAAAATCAATCACAAAAAATCACAGAGAAGAAAACAAGAGAAAAGTCACCTCTAAAATCTCTCTGAGAATGCTTCTATGCATCAGTGATTATTCAACCATCATCATTCCCCAACCTCTATGAGAAGGATCAACACATAAACACCTTAAATCTTAATTATCACTTTCTCACTTTCCCTGCTTCATTCTTCATTTACCTTCTTGTATCATCCCCATCATAACCCTCAGTTCTGCACTTTATCACGCTTCATCAATCTTCTGCATATTATTTAATCATCTTCAGTAATCCACACATTCAATCCTCTTCTGCTCTTAACAATTTCATCAACCTGCACCAATAAACTCAGATCAACCAACTAGCTCAGAAAAACCAGAAACTACTTCCTATAACTTCCCCAAATCCTAACTGTCATCCTAACATTTGGCATGGCTAATTTCCAAACTGATTTTTAACAATTATCCTAACAGTTTCTAACCTAACAACCTCAAAACAACCCTCTAAACTCCTAACTGTCATAAATAGTTTCAACCAATTCCCGTAACTGTGTAACAGAGTTTCTAACCAAAGCCAAAAAAAAAACTAATTCCCTTACCACTTAACCAAATAACCAGAACTACTAACAAACTACCCATACTAACTATTAACCTAACAGTTCCTACCTTCACTTACTACTTCTAAGTAACAGTAGAAAGTGACCAATTCCTCTAATTTCCCCAATAACTTAACCGATTTCCAACTAACTTTTATAACAATTCAAACTAAAACCTAACAGAATAACAATCCAATTTCTAACTTCCCTATTTCTAACTAACTTTTCTCAGATTAATCCATACCACCTATTTCTCTTAACAGAATTCCCAAGATCCTAGGGCTGGGATCTACTCACTCAAAACAAACTCTAACAGTGATATAACAGAAAAACTAACCTCATAACAGACTTTAACAAATTTAATTCCCACCTTCCATTCCATAACAAACTCCTTCAGATCCAAGGGATCTCAATGCTCCTCAATCTAACTACCTTCAAGCTTCAACATCTATATATTCAGTTTCAGAACCCGCCATTCATACGATTTCATCCATAAAGAGGAGGTATCAGAAACTCATTAAAAACCACTCTCTCTGAAATCTCTGAAATCTCTCTGAACCTTCTTTCACCTCCATCAACCTTCTTTCATCTTCATCTCTTCAAGATCACTTCAATTCATCATCACCACCTTCTTCTTCCACCACTGCTCCATCATCCTTCAACTTCTGCAACACCTTTAATCTTCAACTTTTCTTTTTTCTATTTCATCACCATCAATAATTAGTAACTCTGCTTCAAGCTTCAACAAAAAAACATCTACGCACTGAATCTCACAAAGCATACGCAATCAAGAACAACAACAAGGCGCAGAGAAACAGATGCGCGAAGAAGAGAAGAAGAATAAATTAGTGAAGAATTTACCTCTGGATTTCTCAACTTCGCAATAGTGTTGAAGAATAACCGGAATCGTTTCCAGTAGGTAACACCTTATAATATCTTCCGTCATTATGTAATGTGTTTTGTTGTTCTTTTGAATCGATGAGGAAATGAGAAGTCGAATCGGAATCGAATGAGATCGAAGGAGATGGAAACTGAATTGAGGCAGTGAGACAGAGCTAAGGTTGAAATCACGTCGGAGACGAAAGAGATGGTGGTGTATGAGTTTGACACGACGGCGCCTGAGTCTGTATGCGGTAGAGAAAGGATGAGAGAAGGAAGTTGTAATTCCGTGTCACTGTACTGATTGAAGGAGAAATAAGTCACTGACAGCGTCACAAGCGGAAACGGGAAGAGAAGACGGTGAAGCTCGCAGCGCAAAGGAGAAGATATTATCGTTCTTTCTAGTGAAGATGAAAAAAACAACATTGAGCTCTTAACCCTAATCTACACATTTTAATTTTCCATTTAACTTTTATTTATTATTTTCTTTTTAGATGATAAATCTGATATTCGTAAACCTGATGATGGTGAAATTGTTGTTGGTGGATTTGGACTCAACTGGACCGAATAAACCATCTCCTTTGGCCCACAGATTTTTTTGAAGCCTGTTTTTTTTCCTTCCAATAGAGAGCTCTTCATGAGCCAATTGCTATTGGGCTTAGCACATTTCTAGTCAAACCATAACCCCAGTTTCAGGCTCACCCCCCTTGATTATTCTATGCTTTTTGTTAGATTTAGGATTTTTATATGATAAAAAAAATTATAAAATCAATAAAAATTTGTTAGATCTCTTTAATTGATTTTAGGATTTAATTCTTTAGTTTTTTGATAGAATTTTCCCTACATAAAGAACTAATAAAAACACTTCTTTTTTATTTTAGTCTTCATCCGTATTTTCATGCCGCTTTGCCATATTATTTTTGACGCGTTTGTTCATTGTGCGAGGAACTTCTGATTATGCATTGCATTCGCAACACGCGTTTGCCTTTATCTTAGTTGGATATTGTTTCTGACTCTGTTTGTTTCTTGGTGAAGCTTGCTCGACACGTACTCCATGCTTTTTCAGTGCTTTCGTCTGCTCTTGACGACTTGCTCACTTTGGTAGCCTCCGCTACTACTCTTGTACTTCTTTTCACTTTATTGCATTTCGTTATCACTTTCTAGAAATCATGAGAAGTAGGGCTTTACTGCAATCTATGCACACAAACATCAGGTAGAATTCCTTTGAAATTATAACTTTAGGTCTACTATTGCATAATAACATTAAGTTTAGAAATAGGCTGGTCTCCCCTTGACTTTTCTTTCCCTTTTCGCATATGCATTTAAAACAAAAAACTTTTTTTCTTACAAACTTCAAAAACACTTAAAAATTACTGATGAGAATCATGCCTTTGTTGAACATGGGAAATGATAAGCGGGTCTCTTCTCGATCTTATTGTTTTTCCATTCTAAGCTTTGGCATTGTTCAAGTCTCAAAGACTCATTTCATAAACAAGTAGAGAAATGGTTAATATCTCTCTCTTGAGATTAATTAGCTGTTAACCACAAGCAAAAACATCAACCAATACAAACTCTTTTTGCCTACAGGCCATCCTCTAAAAACTTTTTCAAAAGAGCGTGTTAATTAACTTATGTGCTGACGCGTAAGTCTCCAAAGGTCGAGTTGCGGCAGAAGGCGAAATTAATGTTGTTCATTAAAAAATACAAACTAACAAAAACATATGAGCCAAACTACGACTGCTCTGATTCCTTAAAAGGGATACATAGGCATCGGGGTAGGGCCCGAACGAGCACAACTTTTATTTTCCCTACATTCTTTTCTCATTTCTTTTGCATGCATTCTCCCTTCAGTAGTATAATAAATAGTAAGCATATATTAAACACACCTATAATATAGATAATAAGAGTGGATACTGTAGAGTACTACGGGCGTGTAGGGTGCTAATACCTTCCCCTCGTGTAACCGACTCCCTTACCCGATCTCTCGGTCGCAAGACCGTGACTTCTCCCTTCTCAGGTTTTCTCGATGTTTACCTTTCCTTACATGTGGGATAAAAGACGTTCGATGGCGACTTCATTGTTTGATGATTTTCAGCCGGTTGTTTCAGTTACTTCCAGGAAACCTGCATTAAACTATTTCATTACCTCAGCCTTGATTTTCTCAGACATATCTGGCCGCATGCGACGGACCTTTTGCTTGATCGGAGGACAACCTTCTTTATTAGTAGACAATGAACTATAATATCAGTATCAAGCCCTGACATATCTTCACATGGCCAAGCGAACACCTCAACATAGTCGTGCAACATTTGGACCAATCTTCTCTTGACACCGTATTCCAAGTTATCAGCAATCTTGACTTCTTTCTTTTCTGCCTCAGTACCCAAGTTTACCACTTAAACTGGTTCTTTATGCGGTTGAATGGTCTTTTCCTCTGGTATAAGGAGTCTGGCAAGTTCCCCAGATATTTCAAAATCTTCTTCACCTTCGTCTTTGGCTTGATAGATTGGATTTTCGAAGTCATAGATGGCAATAGCAGAATCATTGTTAATGAGATCTGGAGTGGATGTGGATCTGCATATGTGTGTGTGTGCATGTAAGGTCACATGGCTATTTGAAAATGCAGTAAAATAAAAGAAAGACAAGGAGCGCAAAATTTTGAATGCAAAATAGTCCAATGTTCATTAAAATAAGCATATGATATATGAAAATGGCAAACCCTTAACAAATGGAACATTGTGCCCCGGGTAAGGCACATGGTTTAAAGTCATTGTTTTAATGGAAATTACAGACAAATTTCTCAAAATAATAAAAATAGGAAATGGCATTTACTCCTGGCTGAAGGAGATTCGGATGAAGTCCTTGGTCTACCAGTTGTTGAGTCCTCCATCAGCAGTTGGGTAGTGTCAAGAGTGGCTTTGGCAACATCAACCATGGGAGGGACCACTTCAAAGGCTTGACAGGGGGTTTCAATGAACTCGTCATCCATTTCAACGTACTTGAATGAATTCATATGATTGATCATAAACTCTTCTTCCCCACAGACGGTGACAATTTTTCCTTTGACCGGGTACTTCAACTTTTGGTGCAATATGGAGGTAACCACACCTGCCCCATGTATCCATGTGCGTCCAAGTAGGAAAGAATAAGTAGGACAGATATCCATCACATAGAATATGGAGTTGAAGACTTTAGACCCAACCTTGATAGGGAAATCAACCTCTCCATGGACCATTCTGTTTGATCTGTCAAAAGCTCTCACCACGATGTCACTAGGTTTCAGCACCAAACCTTCACAGTCCAACCTATCTAGAGCACCACTGGGTAAGACATTTAAGGAGGACCAAGTATCCACCAACACATGGGCTAAAGTGGTTCCTTTAGACTCGATGGAAACATGCAGAGCTTTAT